GTGTGGTGTGTGTGTGTGTGTGTGTGTGTGTGTGTGTGTGTGAGAGAGAGAGAGAGAGAGAGAGAGAGAGAGAGAGAGAGAGAGTAAATGTGAGAAAAAGAGCTAGACCAAGAGACAAAAACAGACACAGAGGAAGTCTCAATTAACAGGACATAAACAGAGGAAGATAACACTGGATGAGATGTACCCCCAAACAAAGAACATCAGAAGAGACAGAGGGAAGACAGACACCCCCAGAAAGAGGGATAGACAGTCCTGACAGGAGCCCCTGCTAAATGCACCCCCAAACCCCCCCATAAGGGTCTTGCTGGACGTGGTATCTCTTGTAAAGGACAGGCCACCTCTGGGTTGTGACTGCCCTTCCTGTGCCTCTTCAGGCAGAGGGCAGGCCGTCCAGGGACCAGAAGGCCGGAAATGCCACCTGCAATGTATCCTCCACTCCCTAAAGAAAAGATTCTGGTCTCCAAAGTCCACACTGGCGCTCGATTGGGAGGCTTTCTGGGCTAGTGAAAGGGATTCGCACTCGGCTGACCTCCATATGTTCAGGGCCTTTCAAACTCTTCAAACTCGGGGGAGGGGAGGGGATAAGGGGAGGGGGATGTCGAGGGGACCTGAATGGGGGCCCTGGAGACAGGCGGAAGGAGGCCCCACCAGAGATCAAAGGCCCAGGAAGGAACAGAGGGCCTGGAGCTGCCCTTTCACCCATAGCGCTATTCACAATCCTGCCTGCTCTGCCAAGTCCAGCCCCGCCACCACCTCCTCTGGGCCTTCCTGGGAGGGAGGCACTGCCTCAGGGTCTGTCCCTCTAGCCCAGCAGGATTCCTGAGGCCAACCCCACAGCCTTCTCCTGAAAAGCTCTCAGGTCGTTCTAACTAAGAGACAAGAGGCTGCGAGCCATGCCTGGCAGTGCCCTAACCTGACTCTTACTGCCATCCACACGCCTCCTGAGCATCTCTGTGCTCTGGCCCTGTGCCAAGGGGCTGGGCTGGAGATAAAAATACCCCTATGCGATGTGGGCCCTGCCTAGTCGAGTCCATGTGAATGGCAGACTCAGAGTCAGGTGGCAGGAGGGAAAAACAAGTAGGCAGAACCACTTCCAGACATGGGACAGTTACTGAAGCATGTGCTACCCAAAGAGTAACAGCCCTCAAAAGTCACAGAGTCCAAACCAGAATGCCTTCTTTGGTTCTTCTGCCCCTCCTGTGTCCAGGCCCTGCTCACACCTTCAATGATGGGGAGCTCACTACCTTGCCAAGATAATGCTTCCATCCTTGGCCCAGACTGGCTCTTGCCTGAAAGCTGTTCCTTGTGCTGAGCCATACTCTGCCTCCTTGGAGCTTCCTTTACCTTACCCCACCTCTGCCCTCAGAGGCCCCCAAGGACCTCATCTGTTGCCTCAGCCACAGAATCACAGTTCATCTGAGATTTGGATGCAGTGGCCATATCCCCAAGGCTTGTCTTGGAAGCAAACATCCTGGGAAAAATATTAGAATTTCTAGACTGAAAGGGCACTTGGCAACCCAGTAGTCTGACAGTGTTCTAACTTGTTTGTTTTTGCTACAGAAGTCTTCACTCAAACAGAGCTTTCTGGGGAAGCCCAAAATGTCAAACAAAAGCACTGCTGTTTGAGACCCCCATATACACTCTCCTCACTAATTGTGAACCCTCCATAGGCACGTGACTGATCTAGTCCACCCAGGAGTACTTATTGAGCATCTACTATGTGCCACACACTTGTATTCAAGCCACATTATTCAATACAGTAGCCACTAGCCACATGTGGCTATTGAGAACTTAAAATGTGGCTAGTGTAACTGAGGAACTAAATGTCTAATTTCGTTTGATTTTAATTAATTTAAATTTAACAACAGAAGCAGTGTAAAATATTTTTCTATCAATAAAGTGCCACTTCCTGTAAGGGGTGTTCCCAGGTCCTTTTGGTCTCATCAGCCCTTCCTTGCCTTCCTCTCCCCTCTAGTGTCATCCCTTATCACACAACACCTCACACTCTGCCCAGTAAAGGGACTTTGGGCCTGCCAGTCTTGCCCACCAGACTGCAAGCTCTACAGGGCAGGCCCTTTGTGACTGGACTCTATTACCACCCACCCCTGCTCTGAAGCCTGGGCAGGAGAGTAGCACCAGAAAATGCCCATAAGGCAAAACCCAAATCCAAGTTGTAGACTACTGTAAACCAGAGCTGAGCAAGTGACTGCCCCTTGCAAAGCCCCAGTCACCTCATCTGAGAAATAGGGGTGAGGACCCCCAGCAGTCTTCCTCTTGGCCCTCTCATGCCTCTCTTGCCCCATGGCCCTTCCCTCAGGCTGCTGAGGTCTCCCAAGAAACATGGCGCCATGGTCTGCAGTCCCAATGGGCCAGCCCTCCAGTTCATCTGGCAAGTCCCCTGTGTTTCCCCAGCAGTTTGTTTTCACTTTCTCACCACTCTCAGCAGCAACCTGCTGACCATGCCCTTCTGCTGGCAACTCTTCCTCACACTTGTCCCCATATCTGCCCAGCCTCAGTCTGCTCACCTCCAAAGCATCTCTCTGTAGGGGCTGAGGAGCAGCAGGGGGCTCACGGGCTCTCCAGCTCCTCCCAACCACCCAGGGCATACCAGCTGTGTGGCTTCACCTAAGTCAAGCAACTCCCTGGGGCTTCCGTTTCCTCCCAATAAAATAGGGGTGGCAATCTCCACCTCTTCAACTCTCCAGGAAGCCAATGCAAGGATCCAGGGAGACAGAGAGGGGGTTAGGGAAAGGGTCAGTAGGAAGCACCAGGCAGTACTCCTTCCAGACAATTGGCTGATGTGAGCAAGACACCTCTGCCCCACCTCTCTCCCTCACCTCTCTGCTCACCCACATACACTCTCCATGATGCAGGGCTGGGGGTGTGGGGGCTCTGGTTGTTGCTTGGGTCTCCCACTTTTCCCAGTCCTATAAGCTTCCAAGACCATCAGATCATTCTCCCTTAGCCCCCAGATCACAGACTGGGTTACCTCCCAAGTCTTTCTGGGGATCAGGGCTCAATCAAAATTTCAAAATTGGGAGGATCTCAAAGGTCACCCTGATCCTATAGCTGATTCCTAATACTGTTGTACAGCAGCCCAGCAGGTGGCTACCTAGGCTTTACTTACATACCTCTAGTGACAGGGCACTCACTACCTCCCAAGGCAGCCCCTTTTAGCCCTAGACGACGCTCATATTTACAGAGTTCTTTGTTATACTGAGCTGAATCCCCTCTGCATCTGCCACACACTGGCCTTTGAAACCACACAGCAAAGTCTCACTCCTTTTGCCTTCTGTGTCAGCCCTCCAAATATTTGAAGGAAACAATCCAGTCCTGCTCATTCTTCTCATCTTTGTGCAAAAACATACCTAGAGCCTTGAGGTGTTTCTCCAGGTCCCTCTCCATCCAGCTTACATCCATCTGAACATGCCCCAGTTTGTCACTGTCCCGCTTAACAGTCAATACCCCAAAGGGGCCACAGTCCTCAAGAGTGATCTGACCGATACAGAGCAGTTTAGACTAACAACCCCCACATTCTGACTATTCTTTCCCTTTTAAAGCAGCTTGAGAGGCTAACCAGTGACTGGGTCATAGTAAAAGCCAACACAGCCCTCCATAAACAATCCTCCCAAATCGGGACCTGTTTGTTTGGCATCAAACTAGATTTTTTTTTTTCTCCAAAAATCTCTGCCTGGCCCCACCAACCCCTCCATCATGATCAGACACAGCTGGGCCCCACCTTGGGCACATCTGCTCTGAGTCCAGGTGACAATAGGAGAAAAGATGACACCATCAACCCTGTAAACCAACAGAGATGGTTGGCCCACTGACTTCTGCAGTAACGCAGCACAGCCACCCACTGAGTTAAAGACTTCTGGCATCTGCTCCAAGTGTCAGGAGCAGAGGAAAGAGGTGAGGCAGGTTTCCAAAGCCTGAATCATCCCCATGGGCCCCCACAGCTCCAAACAGAGGCCAGCTTCTGTAATGCCTGGCACACGCAGACCACAGGCCAATCCACTGCTGGGCTGACTCAATTTTCTAGTTACAGATCTTAAGCACTTAGGCATGTGCTTACCAGAACATACATCCCTTACAGGGAGCTGAGAAAGGGAATTGTGCCGAGGAACAGAATAATTGAATCAAGATTTCTGTCACGCTGCTCTCAGGCCCAAGACCACAGCCTGGTGTGTTTTGTGGGGTTTTTTGGTTGGTTTTTTTTTTTCTTTCTTTCTTGACTAAGGTTTTACAGGCTCCCAGGGGGTCGCTTCTCTTCTCCAACCTATTACTTTCAGCAGTGCTGGCAGCCCATCCAGGGCAAAGAAGGGCCAGGTTAAGGTGGGCCACTACCCAGGACGGGGACAGCAAGCTCTGGAAGCCCAGCTGGCACCATTGAGGGCTTGAGACAAACCAACAGGAAGAGTGTCATCTTTGTAACCCCCAGGAGGCCCCTTCCTTCCTTCCTTCCAAGCCCAGGGGCAGAGATGAAATGATTATTAACTTTCTCAGCCTCCCACCATCACCACCCCTGGAGGTCTTCTCCTGGGAGTAGTGTGCACAGACCCTCAGAGAACCTGCCTCCTGACCCCTCCACCCTGTGTGTGACCCTCTCACTGCAAGACACCAGGTTCCTCCCTCTCCTCCAGGGCTCCCCAACAACGGGGACACCGGTGCTGTGCTCATACCCTCCACATCCTGCCCTCAGGCATCTTATGTGCACAGGCAAGGTCTTGTTTAAAGCCACAGAGCTCAAACCACAGGGCTCTGCCAGGCCCGCCTTTCTCCACTCAAGGGGTGAAGTCTAGCCGCCTCCCTGTCTGACCCTTCCTCATGTCCCCAGAAGAGACTGAGCCTGGGCGGGCGTTTGGAGGGGGCGGGGAAATTCCGATGCTCTGCAGTAAGCGGGTGCTCAGCGGGCATCTGCTTTCACTGCTGACTGAGCGCCCTGAAAAAGATCCCGTTGGCTCCATCCCGGTCAGGGCTGCGCCGCCATCTCTTACCTTCATCTCTTTTGCGCTTGTTGGAGTCAGCGCTGGGGGACGTGATGCCCAGGATGCCGCTGATAGAGTACGAGGAGCCAGCTGAGTCCGTGCTCACTGATGACACCTGCGTCACGGAGCCCGTGGACACTGCACAGAGGGAGAGGGGTGGTCAGGGCCCCGCAGGAGGACTGTAGGGGTAGTGCTGGTGCGCCTGTGCCGAGAGAGCGGAGGGCCGAAACAAAGGCACGCGCCCTACACTGGGCTGGACCGAACTGCGGAGGGAGCAGGAGTCCAGGAATGGGGCGAAGGGTGTGTGTTGAGGACATTTGGCCACACCTGGGAGATGAGGGCGGTCCTCGAGCCATTTGCCCAGGTTCTCTGCTGCTGGGGGGATGACGGGAGGAAGATGGGCAACGAGGAGGACTGAAGGTGCAGAAAAGAGAACAAGGGACAGTGTAAGAAGGGCACTAGCTCAAATCCCAGCCTGTCCAAGGAAGCAGGAAACAAGGGGATGGAGAGGAGAAAGAGGGGAGTGGGGCCCACCACCAGCCAGTGCTAAAAAAAGACCCAGACTTATTCATTAGGCGGTTCACACCCTGCTTACATACCCACCCATCTATGCAAACAAAAATACCCACACACTCACACACATAGCCAACAAAACTCCAAATGGCAGACTGTCCCTTTTTTACCAGTTCCTCACTGTCTTTTCTCCTTCTAGTTTACATGGATTTTAATATTAATTATATAGTATTGATATAGTACTACATATAATATGTAATCATATTGATATATATAATAATGATAACTAATGTTTTCTGAGAACTTACTCTGTGACAAGCATTAAGGAATTATCTCATTTAATTCTGAGAACAAACTTATAAGCTAGGTCCTGTTATTATCCCATTGGAAAGATAAAGGAACCAAGGCTCAGAGAAAAGAAGTGACTTGCCCAAGGTCACACAGCTAGTAAGAAGCAGAGTGGGGACTGGAACTCAGAAACTAGTCTTCACCCCTATAGTATTCTACTCCTCACTGATCAGTAATGAAAACCAATAATATGCTTCACGTTAACACAGTGCTTTTTATTTAATGCTTGCAACACTTGGAGTGCTGTTATGTAACCCATTTATCAAATGAAAAGACTGAGGCTTCACAAAGGTGAAGTGATTTGCTCAAAGTCATCTAGCCAATAAGCAATAGCACCAGGACTCAGCCTCGGGTCTACTGACTTATAAAGTCTAGATTTTCCCTGCCCAGATATGTGGGCAGACTTGTGACTAAAGCCAGGTCTCCGAGGACCGAAGGATAAGAATGGGGGAGGGGAGGTTTTATGCATGTTTCACATTAGCTCCTGGCCCCAGAGTCCAAGAGAGAGACCAGTCAGTCAATCAGTCATCAGGGTCCTCTCAAGCTGAATTTCCATTTCTGGACTGTGAGAATTCTTTCTTGGTTCATTAAAACCTACGAGCCAATCTCAGGCACATTTCCTTGGGCTATAACTAGCTGGAGGCAGGTGGAGCTGCCTTGGACTGGAACGTGTAGGAAATTACTAGAAATGGTGGTGATTGCGTGAGAAGCTGTTTGCTGCTTTCCTCAGAGCACATCCAGTTCTTGCTCCTTCAGACCTAGAGGGAACAAGTGCCTTTCTTCTCACATTTGAGTTTGATTTTAGATCTTCCTTATGAGACCCAGAAGTAGAAATCGTTAACTTCTCTTTTCCTTCACCAGAAGAAGCGCCTCAAAATAGATTTATGCAAATCTCATAACCTTTTCTGTATTAAGGTGCAAAGAACAGAGGAAGAAGGAAGATCACAAGTTATTTGGTACTTTACTAGCCACATGTAACCAAGGCCCGCCATGTTGCTGACAGAGCCGGCAGAGACATGTTCCGGTGTTTTGTGATTTCACTAGATTCAAAAGACTCAGGTTCCAATTCTGGCTCTGCCATTTCCTTTCCTCCCTTTCCTCATGCCTCGTTCAGTGTGTAAAGTGTAAGGGGCTGTACACACATAAAATAGCCATTTTTATAAAAAATTCAGACACAAAACAAAGCATGCTGTTGACCTACAAGTAGAATTATTCCTCTAACCCAATTGAAAGAATGTTATCAGTTCCTCTCAGTTTGATACTCATTGCTAAGTGACCTGAAATAGTTAAAAAGCTGCAAGTGAAAAAATCTCAGCCACAAACATTTCCCCAGGAGCCTTCCTCAACCCTCTTTCCCTCCCTGTACTTTCTTCTTAAGCTTTATCTCAATGTTTTTGCAAACTTCTTTTTGTTACATTCCCCCATTAGACTGAGAAGCTCTTGAAAATGGGGAATTTGTCCTGCCTCTTAATTAAAATATTAGTTTCCAATGCCAAGGTCTGCATAGCAGAGGCTTAGCAAAAACTTTATGAATGGATTGCTAAATGAAGAATAACTTTATGGCAGGAAGGAAATCTGTGTTACCTTCATCTGGACAGGCAACTGTGGAGGATCAACGACCTCAGAGAGCACCTTGTTTGTGCCCCCTTGGTCCACAAATGGGGAAACTGAGGCTCCCAGAGGTGAAGGGACTTACACAGTTTACTGGATGCATTCATGACAGAGCTGGAACTATAAGCCAGGCCTCTGCCTGTACCCCTTCACCATGAGGAGTTCAAGTTTTCATTTAAAGGAGTGACAAAGGTATAAAAATGGTGTAGAATCTGAGGCTGATTAAGTGGAATTCACAGGGACCCTGGCAACCAGAACTGTCAGAGGCTTGCTGAATGGTTGCCCACTTTCTTATAGTAAAATAACCTTCCCCCAGCTAACCAGAGGGGTTTCCTTTATCCCAAGTGGAGAAATATGCCTTAAATAGACATATGTCATTTTCATCTCACCATCTTTGCGGAGAAGGGAAGGCAAAGGAAACTCTGAACCCTTGAGTACAGTTGACTTTTAATAGCACAGGTTTAAACTGCACAGACCCACTTCTACACAGCCTTTTTTTTTTTCAATAAATATAAACAGCTCTGTATCTCCTGGCTTTGTACTCACAGATTCAATCAACCAACCACGGATCGAAAACAGTATTTTCGATCCATGTTTAGGAGTCTGAGGGTGCAGAAGGCAAACTGTATGCATTGTTCTGCACAGCTTTAGATAAGGGACTTGAGCTTCCACAGATTTTGGTATCCATGGCGGGGTCCTGGAACCAATTCCCTGCGGATACTAAGAGACACTGAAGTTTTGGGGTAGTCAAAAGTTATACTCAGATTTTCAACTGTGGGGGCAGGGGTCGCCACCCTTAATAACTCCAATATTGTTCAAGGGTCAACTACTAGGAAACATGACTCGCATCTTTATAAGTCATGGAGACTCTCAGGCTTCACCCGAAAGTGTCAGAAACTCCACTGCCAGCCCCATTCACTGTTCACGGAGTACATGAGATCGAAGCAAGAGAGAGAGAGAAAGTTTGGGAAGTTTTGCCACATCTTCACTGAAGACTGCAAGTGCACAAAGAATTGTAGAAGAGCTGGTTGATAGAAGAAAAAAACATATTCAAAGCTACTTACTGACTAATGATGCAGAAAATGTTATGAATAAGTACCCCTTTCTTGATTTATTACTTTAATTATCTGACATTCTATAGACCCCCATTAGTGGATTTTTTTTTGGCTTAGATTTCAATTTTCTGTCTCATGCTGAAAGCTATTTATCATAATAATCAGTAAAATTCAAAACCTTTTAGCAGTATTTATAAAATTCATTTACCGGGTTCAGCCCTTGGAGAATGACAAAGAAGGCGCATTAGTACGTGTACCAAAGTGTTTTATGCAGAATTATCTGTCCATAAGAATGATTAAAAGTTCTTTAGAATATTTGGAGCCCATTAGATTTTTAAAAAATTTTTTAAAGTTCTTACCTATGCTGTGACTGGAAGCTGGGACCGGCTGGTTGGGTGGCTGTTGCACTTTCGTCCGGATGATCCTGGGGACAGTGGGAAGAAAAGAAATGGCTATTTACCATGATGGAGAAGAGTTCTCAACTAACTATGCACGGACAATCAGAAAACCCCTGTCAAGCTGGGTCACAGGTCAAACTGAGGCAGAGGGAAGGGGAGATTATGAACCCAAGTTGGGAGTTAGGGGATTGAAAAAGTGATAGTCCCAACTCAGCCCCTACCTCCCTGGGTGTCTTTGGGTAACTTGCACCCCTCTCTGCACCTCAAGTGCTTCTTCTGTAGAAAGGGATGATGTGTTAATGTTATAAAGGCATTCCTTTCTTGGGAGCAACTCCAGCTCCATAAACACACTGAGTGACCTCAGCCCCCCATCTGTGGAATGAAAGGACTGGTCCAATTGACCTCTCTGTCCCCTGGCAGCCCTCACCCTCTGGTTTCTCTGCCTTAGAGAACCATAGGAGGAGTAACATCCCCACTCAACGGAAATCACCAAGGGAGGGGATGTACGAGTTGCTCTGAAACTAAGAAGGGTTAAAGTGACGCCAGGAAAGGCTTGGCTTGGCTTTGCTAAGAGTAAGTCTTCCAAAACCTCGAGGAAAAGCTTCACAGGGCTGGGAGCCAGGGTATCCTGACCTGTCTTTCCAGAGACTTTGCTCCAGTTCTAACAGGAACCTGATTGTGACCCTGGACAAGTCCATTCCATTGTGGGCCTCAGTACAATAAGCAGTTGGAACGGAGCGCTCTGTGCTTACTTTGAGTAACTGAATCCTTTTCACACAAAAAATCTTATGGAAAAGCCCAGTGTATAAAAGGGATAATAATAGCAGTGCTATCTTCCCTTTCCACCTGGAAGCTCTGATGACCTTCTGCAAAACCTTGGGCTCTGGGAAGCTTACTTTGTAAATTTCCAGCTGGGACAATGCATGGAGCCCTCACAAGACCCTAAGCCTGGTGTGTCGACCAAGGCTGAGCCAAAAGTCCCTTAGGGGTCTTCAAGAAAGTTCCTTCCCTAGCATTTGGGAGGAGGGTGGATGGTAATAAAATGTTCAGCTTCTTTGGAAAAATTCTATTCAGCCTCCAACTATTATCCTTTAAAAGAACATTTATTAGAGTTTTTCCTAATCATAAAAGTACTTGGTGCTCATTGTAGACTATTTTGATAACTTTAAAGAGGACATCTAAAACCACATTTCGATGTACAGTTGACCCTTGAACAACATGGGTTTGATCTGCGTGTGTCCATTTATTATACATGAATATTTTTCAATAGATATACAGTCAACCCTCGGTATCCCCATATTTCACAATCACAGATTCAACCAACTGTGGATGGAAAACAGTATTTTCACACCGAGCTTAGGAATCCTCAGATGTGAAGAATCGACACTGTATGCCTTGGTCTACACCATTTTATATAAGAAACTCGAGCATTCAGGATTTTGGTATCTGCAGGGGGTCCTGGAACCAACCTCCCGTGGATACAAAGGGATGACTAGATAGGTTTTGGGGGAATCAAAAGTTATATGCAGATTTTTGAGTGCTCAGGGGTGGGCGCCAATATCCCCTGCATTGTTCAAGGGTCAACTATTAATATATTTCCTTTATGCTAGCATTCCTGTACATATTTGGAAATATCCTTTATTTTTAATAAAATCAGTATTAAACCATGTATACAGTTTTGTATCCTCCTCTTTTCACTCAACATTATAGGAAAAGCTTTTTCACATCCCAGACCATTATTTCTGGACGTTCGTTTCAAGCTGCACTGGGTCTCCAGCTTGTGCAAATGGAGAGAAACAACAGGGGGCAGGTGACTCTCCTTAACCTCGTCAGGCTGTGGCCCTCTGTGATCTCACGGCTCAGCACTGGGCACCAAGGGCACTCAGCACCCTCAGCTGATAGCCTGGACTGGACGTTTCTGCTCCACTGCAGCCCAACAGCCACAGGCCCTCTGGAGCCCAGGCCACGTGAGCATCCACATCCTTTTGCCTTTTTCTGACAAGTCAGCGTGAGTATTGCCTCAAATACATTCAGAATGTTTGTTTGTTTGTTTTGTTTTTTCTCCAACATGCAAACCACTTATTTTAACTAAGCAAACATGAAGCATATTGACAAAGACTTGGAAGTAAGGTAGTCTTTTTGACCACCTGGATTTAAGCTGGCATCTGATCTAATCTTTGTATTTTTGTCTATGTCACCCTCTCTGTAGAGATATAGATGATATAGATATAGATATAGATATATAGATATATAGATATAGATAGATATACAGAGATACAGCTATGTGACCATATGGATATACCAGAGATAAATATAATTTATCTATATTATGTTGTATGTATATCCAAATATATGATAAAATATATCATAACTATTTTCCATGGAAATCCAGCATAAAGTCCTAACTTTCCAAAGCATTATCTAGCCATTATATTTGTACATAAGCAAAGCAAATTATGGTTTCCTTATTTTTCTTTTCAATATTTATAAATCATTGGCAAACATCATCAATTATTATAAGTCATGAAGAGGCAGCCGCAGCATAGTGATTAAGTATACAGGCTCTAGAACCAGACTACTTAGAGTTTGAATCCAGTCTTGCTATTTGCCAGCTGCATGACTTTGAGTAAATTACTCAACCTCTCTGTGCTTCAGTTTCTTCATCTGCAAAATGGGAGTAAGATTCACTCCTACTTCATAAGGTTATTATGATAATTAAATTAGTTAAGTACTTAAAGCAGTGGCTGCTATGTAATAAGTGTTCAATAAATGTGAGCTGTTGCTATTGGCAGTGGTATCTTCATGAAGATAAATGACCAGCTTCAACCTTAAACGGTTCATATTTTTCACAAATGCCTTAAAAACACATGGGATCCCCTTGGGAGCTGCAGAGGGGAACGCAGCCATCCCCACAACCAATTTTAAGGCCGCAATGGGTCTGTCTTCTATGGGTGAGACCTGAATTATAGGGAACCGTCCAAAGCTGTCCCCGGGGATAGAGATTTTACCCATCTGCTTTCAGCAGCTGCCAAGAGAAGAACAAAGAGCATCACCTTCCACTGAGAGGAAATAATAGTGGGAAGAACAAGACTAGCTGAATTGTAGCAATGCTAAAAAAATGAAAAATTAAAAAATAAGAAGCAATGTCAAGACGCATCACAGTAAGAGCCATACTCAGGACCTTTTTTAAGTAAGAGGCAGTCGGGTCTAATTGGCAGTTCACACTGAAACACACAACTTTTACTTTGCTGAGCGTGAGCACGACCCTGGGTGCCATAGGAACAGCCTCCATGGTCCAACAGAGAAGGGAGCTCAGCAATCAACCAGCTCCGATGAGTGATGAAACCGAAACCCAGCGTGCTCAAGTGACTTGCCCAGGGTCACACAGCAAGTCAGTGCCCGTGCCTGAGCACTTTTCTTTGAGCCACATTCAAAGGAAGTGGTCCCTCTGCTAAATGCTTGCTGTATGAGGCATAAAGCCTCTTTAGATTCAAAATCAATTTAAAATCTGAAGATTAAAAGCCCACTTTTAATCTTCAGTTATTACAGGTATTTGTAAGAACGCTATTTCAATATCATCCCCACTCTTTTGAAAGGCTAGGCCTTCTCACCACCATCACCACCACCACCACTCACACACAAAATTACATTGAAAGAGAAAATCATGATGCCTTAAAAAAGGAAATGGGGAGATAGGGCTGAAGAAATAGCCACGTCTACTGCACTGATCAAACTGCCATTAGTTCAGTAAAAATCTTGGGCCATCAGCTGTGCTAAGAGTCCAAACATCAAGGGTCCAACTGGCCCAAGCTGGAAAAGGGACCACAGGTGACACCCAGGCCTGTGACTGATGTGGAAAAGAAAGGAGTGGGTAAACAGTCTCAGAAGGCTTGCTGCCCTGTTTAGGATTAAGAGCAGACTTTACAAACTGTCATCCTCAGGCCACACCCATCACTGGGCAAGTTTTGTTTGGCCTGCACAATATATTTATGTTTATTTGAATTAGTTGCCAATATTTGTAAGTTGGGAGCTCTTACATAAATATATGGATTTCTAGCTTCCCTTGAAACATCAGAACACCTGCATTTCTGGCCCCACATTCTCACACGGCAACAACCAGTTGGTGCTAATAGAGCTGCTCCTCTACACTGGGAATGCCACTCAAAGTTCCCCACCACTTGGCCCCTGGTGTAGAGCCGTGGGACTGGAATAAAAGAAGGAAGGCTCCATTTTGCCCACCATTTGGGCCAGCCACCTCCATCTGACACTCAGGCTGGATTCAAAGATTCCATCATGCAGGTTGTACAGCAGCCCAACACATACTTGTCCTTGAGAAGCCACATCAACATGATAGTTTGTGTCCTAGGAAATCTCCCACAAGCCTAGCAGAGCTGGTTTCAGTGTTGCTTAACCCTATGTCAGTCATGGTTTCCCAGACTGGTCCCCCAGAAGACAGCAGGAAGGCACACATTTCTAGGGGTGAACAGTGGAGATGACCCTGTGGCCACCAGAATAGCTACAGATCAGCCACCATTACCTCCCTAGCTGTTTAAAGTAGGGGAGTGGTGAGAAGTTGCCTCCAAGGGAGACAGGTGCTGGGAGAGGGAGCTACAGACCCTCGTACACAATGATATTTGCAAGACAGTTATTTAGAAGCTGCATCTGTTTGGAGGCAGTGGGAGCTTTGCCTTCATATAGAAAACAGAACTCTGCTGGGATGGCTCCAGCTTTCTAGGGGTGGGGGAAGAATGCAGCAACATGAGATAGTCCCACACTTAGTTTATTTGCATTGCAGGGTCGGTTCTAAAGACACCAATGAGCTCTCACTGATGAATGTGGTGAGGAGCCAGAGAATGCTCCCCAAGAGGAGCCCCCACTGGGGAGCACAGGAGATGGCCATGGATCGCAGAGGAAGCCTGCAGACAGGCAGCAAAACATGCAGGCTGCGAGGCTCAGAAATGGAGTAGGAATAACGAGTTTACTCCTTCGCACAGATCCTCAGTTCTGTCACTGGCAGAGTCCTGCAGGGCAGTGGTAGAAAGAGACCAACCCTCCTTTTATCATTAGGGGACCCTTCCTCCCTCTCTACCTCAAAATCATTGTTCCTCTGCACTCCACATTTGGGCCTTCATTTCTATACCTGTCATAGGATAGCATTAGACCTTGAGGGCTATAGGAGACCCCAGATGTGAAAGCACCTTACAGGCATAGCCAGCTGGTTGTTGTTATGGACTAGGATGTCCAGGAGGCCCTGAAGCTAGCCATAGCCTCATCAACCAGCAATCAGAGCTCACCCCACCTCCCTGCGCCCCCAGCACAGCACAGCTCCAGGCACAAGCATCAGCTGATCCACAATTTCCCTGGACACTCAACAAGTACCCCCTTCATAGCTTTTTCCGCCTCTATAATTACTGTGTTCTATTTACTTCATCTGTTTCTTTCAAATAACTTACTTTTTCACTTAAATAGGCAATATTAGTTCTTTACTATAAATGAGGGGAGTTCATGAAGTTCGCACTCGCTGGTTTGATGTGCTAGTTATTTCTAAAATACATTCAAACAAATTCATCATGAAATGATTTTTATCCTTGTGTTACAGAGGATGTAAGCTGGAGCCCTGAAGAGAAGTTACGCTTGTCCTGCAAGGCATTTTTGTTTTCGTTGAAATTAGTTGCCACCATTTAAAAACACACAGATTGCATATATACAAGTACACATATACACATACACACACACACAAGTCCTAGTTTCTGGCTTCTCTGTAAACATGGAAAAACGCGGGCAAACACTGGGCCACGTTCCCAGCAGCACTCAGCTGGAGCTGAGAAGCAACGGCCCCTCCCATAGGGCATGTACTGTCTAGTTTGCAACAGACCCAACCTTTCCCTATCACCTTATGCCTGCCCTGCTTCACTGGCTGCATTTTCCGCCTGGCCCCATGTAGGCATTAGAGATTGGGACCCCCACAAGCAACCTAAAGTTACCTTTTGAACCACCAGCTCCAAGTATATCCTACATTGGTAAATCTGTGGGCCCCCAAAACCTGACCACGGGTTTGGCAGCAGTTCCTCTGCAGAGCAGGCTGACTGCTCCTTCATTGCTTTCAGTAGTGTATGCCTCACTCCATGTTAGGGCTCTTAGAGACCCGGAAAAAACCATCATGATATTCTGTGTCATAGAAATCCTGCAACAAGCCAAAAGCAGGGGACTCACAAGGCACAACAGAGCCGCTCATAATCCAGAAAAAGAACGCGAGTGATTCCTCTCAAGCTCATCACAATAGTTGCCATTTGGTGCCTAATTCGGGCTGTCCAGACTTCTAAGTACATGCCGGAGTCCCAGCCTGGGCAAGGAGCCCCCCTAAAATAGAGACTAAGAGATTGTGTGCCCGGTTCAGCTCTCTCTTCTCAGCACCTTGCATGATGTCAGAGCCAAGGCAAAGGTTTACTGAGAAAAGAAAATCAGGCTAATGGTTTATGAAATAACAGTACTCAAAACGTCGACACATATACTCACTCACACAGTGATTCTGTGCATTTGAGTCATTACAGAAGGAATGATATCAGGACCAGAGGGGATCTCAGAGACATTCTAGTACGACCACTCTTTCTGATTGGGATAAGTTCTCTGGCCCAGACAGGCTCTACACTGACAAGGATAGGGCATGACTTTGAAGAAATGGAAACTGCTCAAGTTTCAATATGCTGGTTTCTCTTTTCTTTGTGGAGTTTACAGAACAGTCATTTCTGTTCATCTCACAATTTCATCTCTGACTCTGTGGGTTTAAGTGGAGTTGAGACTGCACCATCGACAGTAAAAAACTTTCTTTCAGGAATTTATTTTTAAAGCTCTGAGAGCTCTGTGAGCTATATCCTGGATCACACTAAAGAGGAGAAGAAGCCACTGTGGCTCCTAGTAAGTTCCCAAGCCTGGCACTCATGGTATTTCTGTTTTTTTCTGTCCATGGGTGAAATTTGGGGCAACTGGGGAGAGGGCACCTCCCTAACGCCACAGCATCTTAGTGTCCCAGACATCACTCTTGGAGATCACAGACCCACATTGGAAGCACCAGGGCCCTGGGCTCAGAGAAAGGAAGAGCTCTGTCAAGGTCACGCTTTGAGTTTGTGGCAGAGCTGGGAAAAGGAGCTGAATCTCCCAACTCCAAGTCAGGGCTCGGTTCCCTATACTCAGTGGCTCAACCTCTGCCCTGACTAGAGGCTGGGATTTTCTTCCTGGGAAGCTCTGAGATGGGCCAATGCTAAGACCTTGAGACTGGGCTCGCACGGAAGTAACATTTGTGAAGGCCTCATCAGGACAATTCACTGTGAAGTTCTCCACGCACAGAACAGGTGGTAAAAGGGAGTGATGGAAATCACTCTGGACTCAAAAGAACCTCATGGCCTCCTCTGCCTGGGCATCGTACTCCTGCCCACTTTGGAGAGAAAAGGGCAATAGAAAGACCCATCTGGACCCATGAGCAGCCCTCATGTCCAATGACCCCTAAAGGGCCTTGGGGAAAGGAGAGACCAGATCTTCAGGGAAGACACGCACAGAGCCTCCAGGATCCCCCACTCCACCCAGATCCCTAGTCCCCTACAGGCAGCAGCCCCCTCACCTGTTGATGGAACTGACACTGGGTACTGTGTCATTGTCACACACTCGTTCTGCCAGTAGCCGGTCCCTGATCTCCCAGGCAAACATGGTGGGATTTTGGCGTTTATATTCGGCGATTTTTTCCACCACTTTGGGTGTGGCAACCTTTGGTTTGGATCCTCCAATTACCCCAGGCTTGATGCTCCCCGTCTCATAATACCTAGGACCAAAGAGAAAGGAGCTTAGCCATGAGGAACCAGCAAAATGGATGTTGGTAACAATATAATAGGCTATTCTTCCTGGACACGTCTGGATCTGACTGTCCAATACAGTAGCCACTAGACATATGTGGCTTTTACATTTTTGAAGTGTGGCTTGTTTGAACTGGTACATGCTGTAAACAAAAAATACACACCAGATTTTCAAAACTTAGTACAAAAAATATATATATAAAATATCTCATTAATCATTTTTATTTTGGTTATATGTTGAAATGATAATGTTTTATAAATTTGGTTAAATAAGATATATAATTAAAATTAATTAAAATTAAATTAATGTGTTATTAGAAAATTTTAAATTTCATATGTAGTTCACATTATACTTCTTTTGAACAGTATTGGTCTGGGTGCTATGCATTCATTCATTCATTCATTCATTCATATTTATCTACCGTTTTACAGTTTACAGAACCTTTCAAGTCAGATTTCCTATTTTGAATGAGTGAATGAATAAAGAAATGGGACTCCATCTACAGGAATAAAACAGAGATCCATAGAGGTTAAACTGTTTGCCCAGGGTCACACAAGACACAATGGCCAAACCAGAGCTGTGGCACAGCCTCCTGAACTACCGGTTCTCCAGAAAGTCGACTGGTGCCTTTAATTTGCGAGCTTTTCCGTCCCCTAGCAGATTCATTTACCTTCTGTAAAACCGTCCCCTAGAATGCAACTTACTTTTCTCTAAGAAAAAAACAATAACCCTGGTGTCAAATTAAAGGGAGTGTTGGATTCCAGAATTAAGTGGAAATATCTGTCATGTATAAGTCAAAGCCCAAGCGATCAAAAAAACAACCACAAGTCGTGGTAGCTCTTCCAGGGACCTCCCCTGAGGTAAATCGCTGTTTCTAAGGACAATTTTCATGCTATCAGCTCTTCCTCGTTAACGCAAATAGGATGTCAGGGTTTTACAGTAAAACCGAGACCAGGGAGAAGAGTGCCATGAAAGATCATTTCAGGGGGAAAAAAATGACTTGATTCCTTTTCGGAATCTGAGCCTTGACTGGATGTCTCTCTCAATATTTACAGAGGAATTCTTGACTTCCTCTTGCAAAGGAGATTATTTTGCAGTTGAAATTTCTTTTTAACCAAAAAGACATCTTAGAAATGACTGGTAATTTTCAAGCCTAACAAGAGTTTATAACTGGTAAGAGAAAGAGGTGATTCTCTCATGGGATAGGTGGGAAAGGTTACCCAGAACAACGACTGCTTACACTGAAAGAGGTGCTGAAATTTTCAGTCTGGGTAAGTCTGAATATTCTAGAAACAGATGAAATAATTTGGGAGCAATGATGTGGAAGTGGAAATTCTAATTTTCATTGAGAAGAGTGAGTCAAATTGGGACCATATGGCAAAACTCAACCTATTCTCCCTCTTCCTGTAATTGCTGAAAATTTGTTATTAGTCACAAACAGGTTTTTAAAAATATCTAAGGAAATGCTTTTTTGCCAGAAGTCTAGAAAAGTACCTAAATCAAGGCACACAACAACCTCTGCAGCCTCCAAATATCCTTTCAATTTTACAATAGAAAGTCGTTTGTTAATATCAATGCAACAACTCATTTATTTAAGCGCAGTGCTCTAGAGTTTACAGAGCTCTTCCTTGAATTATCTTGATCCTCACACAGGGTTTTATAGAAAGGAAAACCAATGATTAGCAGCCTAACTGACTTGTACAACTCCCTTCTGGAAAGTTAGGGGCAACCCCCAGCTTTCAAAGCTGAGTCCGAATCCAGGAATCCTCCTACTAGACCAAAGGGCTGCTTTAGTTGTAAAATGATAATAAAATCATCATCATCATCATCATCATCATCATCATCATCACCCCTTGCAATTGTAGAGTGCTTTACTGTTTACCAGGAATTTTAACGAGCATTTTTTCTTTCATTCACTCACTAAATCAATAGTCACCTGTTAAGACAGGCACTGCCATGGGGCAGGGGTTACAGACACACAAATGACCCTGTGCTGGATACTCAAAATATGTTAGTTGAATGGGACTGCAACGTTCAGGCAGCAGCTGTGAAGGTGTAGCAGGATGAAGCTCCCCCCACTCCCAGCACTTGCCCTGCTTGCATGTGAGGGTGACAGCCCCCAAGACTCTCCGCCCATCCCACCTGAGCAGTGTCAACCACAGGAGGCTATGCTCTTGACATGAGAGGTTTCTATCTTCCTTTTGACTGACACATGGGCCAGGCACTCAGAAGGCAACCCTGACATTCCAGAAAACCCTAGCTGGCCACTGTGTCAAGTGAGGACTCAGACTCCATAACCACCCTTTCATCTCAGCGAAACAGTCATGCATCCCTTTGGCTTACGCACAACAGACGAACGGCAGACAAACGGCAGCCACCAATACACAGTGTAGTTCAGTGCAAAGAGCATTAGTTTGGGAGTCAAGGGGTGTAGATGCCAGTCAGTGGCTCTGACACTAACTCGCTGTGTGACCTTGGTCAACTCTCTTAGCCTCTCTGGGCCTCAGTTATCCCATTTGTATAATAAGGGGAGGATGTTTGCTCTGCCTGCCTTGCAGGGCTGTTGTGAAGACAGAAATGCAGAATGGTTAAGAAAAAGCTTTGCAAAACATAAAGAGCACGTGTTGTGGATTAAAATCCTCTGAGTGTTTATTACTGTGTAACATACCACCCAATTGCAAATGGCCTGAACCTCCCAGACAGGCTCTAGTGAAAGAAGACAACAGCCAGGCTTTCTGGGTGGATTTAAATGGGCCTCACATGCCACCAGGCTGTGCCTCTCAAACCCCTCCAGAGCCTTGAGCTCTGTGGACTGAATGCCCACACTCCTGGCAGACCGCCACCTTCCCAAGATGACAGGAGTCCCCGCCAGCCCCAGGGACTCTGCTTGCCTTGCCATGCAGCCCCTGAAAACCATGGCCACCACACACTCCACACTCTCTACAATCTGCCACCCCATGTTCACCCATCAAATTCTTCAGTGATCAAAAAAAATAATAATAATAATCAGTGGATGGAACAGCCCAGTTCAGAAATTCCCAGTCACACTGTTTTAGGTTTGAACTTGTTTCTTAAAAGGCAGTTCTAATTAGAGTGACATTTTGTCCACTGTGGTTCTTAGTTATGAAAATAATGAGCTATGAAATTCCAATTTATTGTTGACAACTTAAACGGCCAGGCACCAGAGCCGCGCGTAACTTCCGAGTGCCACTCTACCTAGTGACAAATCTATTCTGGGCCGCGAGAGGCTGCCGGCTGGGCCTGAGAGGGTCCCTGTCCCCTTCAGTCTCCAGGGGAGATCTGGAGAGTTCCCTAGCACCCGATCTAGCATGGAGGTGTCACCTCTGAGAAGGGCTCAGCATTTTGCCTTGAGATGATTTCAAATAGCAAGCAAAATGTCGGCTTAGCAAAGACGTCTCAGCAAAAACAAAGAAAGGGCCTTCTTTTTTTTCTCTCTCTCCCTCGGTACAATGAAGAGGCTTCCCCAAAAGATATCTAAGATCCATTCGGCTCTCGGAATCTGATGCTGAGGTAGTCTAAAATATTTCCCTTCTCTCTCTTTCTCTCCCTTCGTATCTTGTCTTCATTTCTCTTTCTGTTTCTCTTTTTAAAAATCAATTATTCTCTTTTCTCTTTGTTTTCCCTTATTCCCTCTTTCTCTTTATCTCCGTCTCCCCTATTTTCTTCTACTCTCGCTCTCGTCCTCTGTCCAACAAAGCCACCATCTAACAAGAATGCCACGCTGATAGTCCTGCCTTCCTCCTTGAACTCTGGCTGGGGCTCATTTGCTTCTGAGCGCTAACCAGGACTGGAGCCCACAGCCTCCACCGCTGAGGTGACCTGAGATGGGCAGGGGAATGAGAAATAAACACCGGGATCAAGGTCCCTAAAGGGGCTGCCAGACCTCTGGCCCTGAAACTTCTTCCCTTGGCTTCCAGCAAGACTCCCCTAGGTTAGACACTGGTGTTCCCTCCATCTGAGAGAATTTCTTAAATTCCAGCAGATGGAAGGGAAAGAGCAAGCAGAGTCACGATGTCACTGACATGCTTCAAAAATATTTCTTTTCTATTCCGGCATCTGTTCTCAAACCATAATGCGAGCTACAGGACAAAGGTTATTCTCTGACCCGGAGAGAGAAATCCTGAGAGAGCACTGAACAGCTAAATCCGAGACTGTTCGTGGCTGCCAGGGCAGACCTATAACAACTTCACATGCCTAGAAACAAACCTGTGGCTTTGGTTTGGGAGTATGGCCAGGTGTGCAGGGTCTGGGAATCCTTTGGCCCTCTTCCCAGCCCGAGTACTGACAGGCTGGCTGGACCTGGGTCAGTCATTTCATCTCTCTAGGTTTGTTTCCTCCTCTCAAAACTGCTTCCCTGGGTGGTGCTGAGGCTCACCCGAGAAAATCAACGGGAGTGCTCAAGGCTGTACAGCCCTCTGGGAGAATCAGCATTGTTAGTATTTTGCTTGCAGCAAATCGCCAGGTCAAGTGGCAACTTTCAAATGTCAGACTGGAGAGTTAGTGTTTCTTTGGGTTTGTTTGTTTTTTCTCTTCTCTAATTTAATAGATACTTAGGATGCCTGTCACTACAAAGGAAACAAAACAGAAGGAAAATACTGCAGCCCAACATAATAAGGTTGATGATGACCCAAAGCTGAAAATGAAAGATGACTTTTAAAAAATGGTACATGCTTTTTGAAAACATTAAAATGAAACATTGGATTCTGGTAATTTTGGTGATTTTAACTTGTGGATTTTCTACCCAGCCCTGCTCAGGCTCTGGGCTCACATGAGATGTGTAGGGGAATTTCCCAAGAACCTCTTACTCTTGGGTTCTTTGGAATAATTCACCAGCCTTGCAGAAAACAGTCATCCCTCCTTACAGAGTCCGCATTCCACATGTCACTGGGGTTCCCCAGGGCTACTTTGAATTGAACGGCCTCGAAAACACTTTGCAAACTCTAAAGCACTATGCACATGGGCAAAGTGCCATCGTGATTCTCACGATGACACTGGCACATTTGGACAGCCGCTGGGTCATGTTGGAGGTCATTATTTGAAAAGTCAAGGGAAGCCTGGAGCTCCTGCCTTTACCTGCCAAGGATTTTGCTGACACAACCATGGCTGACCCGAAGCTGCCTGGAGATATCGCACGGCCTGACACCTTGATGAGCAAGTTCCACTATCCTTTGGCGGACTACATCCGGAAGTGGCCGTCCATTCACAAAAACCCCCCCAAGCTGATTCACTCCTCCATGTCCTGAAACAGATCAGAAACAAAAGGCAAGGGAAAGGGTGGTTAGAACCATTCACATAGAAGGTAAAGCACCATTGCTAGCACCCAGAGTCCCTCAGATCAGAAATGGCCACAGGCTAGATGGCTTGAGCCTGGAGTCTAATCGTGCAGACTACATGAGCACCTCGGAGTACTTTTTAAAATTAGCTTCAGCCTTTGTCCATCTTCAGCCAGTCAATTGGGCTACTGAGGGCAAGCATCCCCATACTATGTTTCCTTTATACTAGCATTTTCCTTGTAATTTCCTTTTTTAACAATGGAATAGGTGAAGACCTCAGTCTACAATAGGGATACAACTTATGACATACATGAGACTGAGGTGTAAGGAAGATCCCTGGAAGAAAAGACATTTTAAAATCCATCAAATTTAAAGAGATTTTTTAAAATGAAACTCTTTTCCTTTTAACAAATATCTTTCAAAGTGAAAGGTCCACTCCAAAAAAACCTCAAGGGAAAATAAATGTTTTTTTTAAACCAGCAATCTGATTAAGAGCTAAGGACTTTAAAAATTTTTTTAAATAGTATCTGCAGAGACAAAACCCAACCACTGCCTCGATAAAAATGCTTGCTTTAAGAAAGTGAGGTCCATACCTCAATAAAGCTGGCAAAAAAATAAACAAAAAAGGTGAGGCTGTTATGCAGATGTGACCACTGCACCCTCTCAGATCACACAAAAGAAATGGATGAGAGGATCACACTCCACTACACTACACCAGAATTTATTATAGGGTTTCCCTAAAATTTTTGGAATGTTCTTCAATTGACAAGCAGCTTTAAGTTGGTTCAGGGGAAATAAAGAAGCTGGAGAAAGGCTTCTGAGTCCCAGGGTTTTCAAGGGTTCTGGGACAGATTTTAAGTAAAAAGAGTCTAGGAAAGTATCCGCACAATAAGCTCCCTTCTCTTATATAAAGGCCCATCTGGAGGGAAATAGGAATCCAAGTAAATGAAGAGCCAAACCAGTAAACAGGGTGATCCAATATAGCAACATCATTGGCCTTGTAGCTGTTAATCAGCCACTAATATCGCTGAGGACTGTCAAAAGCCAAAAGTCAAGACCAAGGATTTACCAATGCTACTGGCATCTCAGAGGCTAAGGGGAAGGAAATCTCCTAAACTGGGACTTGCCAGGACTGGACTATACCAGGGAAGTCAGGGCATCTCAGAGGACACACACACACACACACACACACTCCAACTCTAAAACATAAAAGAGCTACCTCATCACAGCTCTCCCCTTTACCCCAGCACTCAACTACTATGCAGGTTCATGAACAACATCTGAAATGAAGGGGGGAAAGGCACCCATTATATAGCCTATTTCTTAAAACTGCCAAAGCAATTCATTAAAGTTTCCCATGAGAGTCCAAATTGGATATTTCCCCAAATTTCCAAGCTCAGGTTGATTTCAAGGGAAAACACAGTTTTGTAGATAATGACAGTAGTTAATTCTAGTTCTAAGCTAGAATTTCTGAATTTCAAAATGAGCTTTAATCAGTTTTGGTTGTTCTAAAACACTCCAGATATAAGGAAAAGGAAAACCATCCCCGACAGGATTTTGCAGTTAGAAACACTGCATAGCTCACCTAAAAGAGAAAGACTGCAGCCACCCCTGTTCAAGGGCCTTAAGAAGGCTTTGTTCTGGGGTTGGGAGCACCTAATAAAAATGAGTTGTACAGATCTTTCAAGAACAAGCTGTATTTAAGAAGAAAGTAAATTCAAAATTGGTACAAGCTCATCGGAAAGGACAAAAAAGAAGCTGAAAGCACCTAGCACATTTTTAAGATAACCTGTTAGTCCAAGCACTGTGGCCCATCTGAAATACTCTATTCCCTATACCCAAGGCAACTTAAACTTTCTGCCCAAAACACAGTGGCAACCTTCAGAGGACTCAAATTCCAAGAGCAGTCAGTCCTGCAGGACATTTGGGAGTTCAGGGGACCATTCGTATCATAGAAAAAAACGTTAAGGGTTGGACACTCCAGGTGTCCCCCACAAGCCCTCAAACCCTCTACTCTTGATCACAAAGACTAGGCTACCAATACTCTTACAGAGTCTGATCCACAGCTGACACAAGACCCAGGGTGACCTGGGAGCCCCTGGAAAGGCCCCCAAACCCACTTGTCCCAGTAATAGTCCTATCCAGGAGAGCATTATGAGGGTGGTAGGAAGGTGATTTACAACTATGGCCTGAGAAGGCAATGTTTCCCAGTCACCCGGAGATTGGAAAGACGTGAGTGAAACTCTATGCCTGAGAGAGGGGAGGCAGGGTGGGAAAATAAAATAGGAAAAGTGAGGTGTGAGGGGAAGGGTGCAAAGAGTGGGAACTAAATGAGCCAGACAGCAAGAAAAGGGAACCTGAAAGGTAAGCCTCACATTAGAAAAGCAGAGGAGGAGAAAGAGGAATGGATCAGCCAGAACAAGTGAAAAAAAGAAAGGTCAGTGCGGTACCCGGTGGAAGGCAAGGAGACCAGAAGAGAAAATGGGAGGAAGCCCAGTAAGGGGGCATCAGGAGGACTGGGGACTTGTGTGGAGGGGAACCTTTGTTTTTCGGAACCCCAGCTCCAGCCCCGCACCTTCTCTGAGAACCCAAGTCCCAGCCTCTACTTTCTGTGGACTCCAGCTCTACATCAAGAGGGTTCATCCCTTGGGGAGTACTGGGGGGAGACCCTGACTCAGCTACACTTTTAAGGGCCAAGTGGAATTTATGGGAGAGACTGACACTGAGACAGATGGAAACAAATCAAGGCAAAGACCAGGAAACAGATACACAGATACAAGGGAAACATAGCCCCGCCCCCACAGGACTAGCAGAAAAGGTTTGGAGGAGGGTGGTAGGGAGAAGGGTTGAATTGCAGATGCCCCTGGAGTCTGGAAGGACCAGCCTCCACAGATGCTCCTCAGGCCCTGATAAGAACATGCTGTCCACCTAGGGCCCTGTCCACACCCAGGGCTCGGCATAGGGTCTTGGGGAGAGGGTCTCTGCTGACTCAGCCGCAGATTGAACTCCAGGACTTACAGGGTCATTGAAATCCTTCCTAGTGTCATTCGAGAGGATGAACAAGGGACACAGAGACAGACATGCCAACAGGAACACAGGGAAAGAAGAGAAGGGATGAAATTTTCTTAATGGACTCTCCAAATGACAGACAGGTGCTGATACTCATGGCAGCTGGGCCATAAATACAGATATAGTTAAACCAGACAGAGTGCCTTGCATATATGTGTATATCCACCCAGACAGCCCACTGTCCTCTCTCTGGAACCTGAGTCCCCCCCCTCCTCTTCTGTGAACCCCTGAAGACCCAAGAACCAGCTCCAGCTTTTCCCATGTGAACTTCCTGTCAGTCCTTTTGTTTCTCTGACCTCACTATTATACTCTATAAAATGGGTGTAACTAAAGGTTTAGATAACACTCAGGTAGGAGACTATAAAAGTGCTTTAAACTGGTAACCACACATACGGTAGGGAAACGTCTGGGGAGGGAGGTAAGAGACCATTGTGCTGATGAAAGTGATGAGTCTGGAATAGGGGGTAGGAGCAGGGTAGCTCAGAAGCACATTTCCTGGCAGTGTCTGCCCTTCCTCCCGACACCACCTCCCCACAGAAGCTGTCCTGCTCCAATGGGGGCAGGGAGGGGCGGTGTCAGGGGAAGAAACTGACCAAGGCGAGGAAGAAAGATGAAATGGTAATTATTCCTTACCCGCATTGCTCTAAGGACCTGTAAGGATCTACTGTGCACTGCCCCCCTTCCCCCAGTCGCCAACAAATTGAGGCCCCAGAGCCAGCCTACATTGTGCAAGCAAATAGCTTTGGGTGACAGAACTAAAGGCTCGTCCAGAGAAGCCAGCTCTGGAAGATGGACTGGCTGGGGCCCGGCCCCACGGTACTGGAGGGGAGCTTGAAAATGGGAGGAGGGAGCACTTCTCGAGGAGTGGGCAGATGAAGGCTGGGACAAGGAGGGACGGAGACAGGCACTAGTGGTTGGTTAACAGCTCCTGCAAGGAGCTGCCTTCTTCATCCTCATGCACAGCTGGGGGACCACGGGGCTTGATGCTATCTCCCCAAGGGCTTGGGCAAGACCTCAGGGGCGCCTCTCTGCGCAGAAGGAGGCAGTGAGGGTCTGTGGATTTCCATCCCGGAAAAAAGAAGCAAGCGTAGGGGCCAGCCCTCCCCATTTTGTCCCTCAATTGCTCTTTGGCTGAGCTAAGGGCTTGCCTACCTCTCAGAGTATGACCCCAACTCGTTTGTTCTCTGGCTCACTCTGCGAGTTCAGAGCCTCCCCAAACCCAGCTCAAGTGTGCACAAGAGATGACTGCCGAGGGCGCTGGGGTCACTATGGACTGGAAACCGTTTTGGCACAGGCCCCAGACGATGAGGAATCGTTTGGTCTGAGACCGGAGCAAGCGGCTTCTCTGCACAAACCTCCGCACAGCTTTAGTGGATTACCTCCTACTCGGGAAATTGACACAAAGAGAAAGTGACCTGCCGGCAGCCAGCTCTGGCCGCCTGGATCAGCATTTCTCTGCCTACCAGGCCACTCGGCCCTCCGGGTAAAAAAACGGACAAATTCGCCCGAGGAAGCTCGCCTTCTCTCCAGCCGGGTCTCTGCTGCCTTTGTTAAATAGGGGATCCACGGCTGGGTAAGCAGGATCCTGGGCTATCTGCGGAGAACCTGTCTTGGGGAGGGCTCCCAGCCGGGGATAAACCCTGTGACCTGCGGTCCTTGGGGACCCGAGCTGGGCACCCGGCTGGATGCCGCCAAAGCCTGGCGCCTTGCTCCGGCCCAGCTCTGCAGTGCGCAGAAGGGAAACACGATTCGTTCCACTTGGTATTTCCTTGAAATCTCCGAATCTAATCCGGCGCTAACTCGCCGTGAGAGAAGCGCTCGTCTCACAGAGGGCTGTGCTAAAGGGTGAACTGGCAGATCCAGCGGGTCAGGCAGCCCGCCCGCCGACCTCGCTCACGCCCAAAATGACCCTTCTTCCCTCTCCTACACATGCGGCGTATTTCAGAAGGCTGGGGCGCCTGTATAGTGACTAATTGGCTTCTTCTTCTTGATTGTTTTGGGGGCTGGGATAATCAGCCATCATAAGGCAAGCGTCCTGCAGAGAAGGACTTGATGGTGTCTTTAAGGGTCTATGTATGAACTGGCGGCTTCCAAGCAGAAGCTCGGCTCAGGAACCTCTACTTCGTTGATTTTTCAAATCACACTCAACTCCAGGACGCCTTTGGAGCTCTGGATATAGTGTCCTCGCTTACCTCTCAGCCTCTTCCCTCACATATACAAGCACATAGGCAATGGTTGGGGCCTCATTTTCCCTCCAAGCCGGTCTTGATCAGCCCCACGGCTGAAAAGGAACTATAAGGGTTGGGTTGTGGGGCGCTGTCTGACACACTGACTTTTTGCTACAACTTCGTGCCCTCCAACTAACTAGCCAGGCTGGAGCCCTCTCCAGGTCCCAGGCAGGATCCTCCCAACACGCTGAGATGTCGCTGCCAGAGCCCCCAAAGGCAGCAGCTCGCTGCCTACATTACGCGTTGGTGGAGGCGGGATCCCCGGTGCCAGGTGCTCTGGGCCTGGGCGACCAGCCACGTTGTTCCACATCCCCTGCCTGGGAGCCCTGCACTTTGCAAACTTGACTGCTTGGCTACAGAAGTCCTGGGTCCTCCCAGCTTTAGTACCTGCCCGGCAGTCCGGCACCCCCAACCCCGTCCCGGTTGGGAGAGTGAGAGAAGAGAGCTCGCCGCCTACTTACTATGCATGGATGCAAACGGGTCGTGCTTACAGTGTATTTCCATCGGTGCGCTCCAGACTGCAGGCCGGCCGACGCCGCCGCCTTCCGGCGCCAAGGGGCTGCCCAGCGCGGCTAGGGAGCCGCGCCGCCAGGCCAGGCACTGGGCTCAGAAAACACTGCTGGAGCTTCGGGGTCTCTCTCAGAGCCGCCCTGCCGGAGATCGCCGAGAGCTGCGTCTAGAGGCGCGAAACCAAGCTAGTGCAGTCCGGCTGGAAGCGAAGAGCCCAACTCCTGGTGGCTTCCCTCCCGGGCTGACTCAAGCCGCAGCTCCGGACCCGGCCCTGGGTGTCTGCGGCCAAGGCGCCCGCAGCTTCGAGGGCATAGCATAGGGGTCTGCTTCCGGGAGGGCTAGGAACCCCTGGCCTCCGGTAGGAGCGGCTTTGAGGAGGCCTGCAGGACTCACGGCCCTTGGCTTCACTCAGGGGGTAGAGAGGCCCGCAGGCTGCCAGGCTGGTTCCGCGGCCTCGCTGCCTGTGGAGTCTCTCCTCGACCCCTCGGTCTCCACCGGATCCTTTCTCTCTCTGCTTCTCTGAGTCTCTGGGGCTCGGACTTGCCACCTCAGCCTCTCTTCACCCCGCTCTCCCACGTCTCTGGACGAAGTTGCAAAGAACTTCCTCTCTGCGGTGCTGGGGCCCAGGCGGTTTCGCAGACTCTTCCGCCACTGACGTTGGGGCTGAAACCCCGGAGTCTTCCGAAGCTTGCTGCCCTCGCACCCCGGGACCCGCTGTCTTCAAAGTTCCCGCGTTTCCCGCTGCTCCCCCATCGCTGGGACCAGGAATGGGGACAACAGCGACAGTCTCCTCCTCGCCTGAGTATCTGCCTCACGCCCACCAACTCTTCGAGTCCCGCTGTCCTCTCTCGAGGGTCTGGTTCTGTCTTTCAGTTGCCTCTTCCGGGACGGCCGCCGCGCCTGCCCCAGGCGTGCAGCGAGGGACAGAGGGGAGAGCGGAAGGTCCCCTCCACGAAGGCCTCTGGGACTGCTGGTGCTAGATGGAGCCGCTGTCGGCTTTGCCCGCGTTGCCGCCACCGGCGCCGGCGCTAGCCCTCCGCCTGCTCGGCGCGCACAGTGCGCCACCGCGCCGCCCCGGAGCCGCTTTCAGGACCCGCTGCGTGTGGACAGCGCCGCCCGGGGCTCAGCCTCCCTCCGGGCGGGGGCGGGGGTGGGGCGGGGGCTAACATGCCAATCACGTTTCATCAAGCCAATCGGAGCCGTAGCAGCCGTCCCTGGTCCGAGACGCCGCCCCATTGGCTGAGCAACCGGCGGGCTCCGCCTGATTAGCGGATACCTGGGCAATAGGAGAGAATGGGAGGCGGGGCTCAGGCGGCGGCGCCACGTTCATTGACAAACGCGCGGCGCGAAGGCCTAGTGAAGCGCGGATGGAGGGAAGGGGGAGGGGATCCACATAGTGCCTGGGGAGTCCCGCAGCAGGTCCCGCGGGAACCTGGCCTCCCTGCCGTGGCGTTGGGACCTTGGGACGCCGAGGCGCGGTGGAGGAGGGGTGGGGGGCCGAATAGCCTCCAGAAAACACATGCACACAAGCAACGGTTGTTGGAGGAAGACATCGAGCTCAGTAGAGATTCGGCTTTCAATCTAAGCCTCATCAGACTCGCAGTGTGCGCCCATTCTGACCTCAGTGTCCTCATCGATAAAATGGGCAGAGTTGGCTTACATAGTCTTTAATGAAAGCTCCTTCCATTGGAAACATTTCATAATTGTATCAAGAGCCTTAGTCGCTGCCGCCACCTCCTCGCCCACCCCCCTCCCTCATTTTACCCCAGGGCCTACAATTCTAAGATAACCAAAGGGCAGAGATGTTGAGGTGAAAGAACTCTCACATTTTTCTAAAGTTAGTAATCAGGGTGCTCCTGGGGGAGGGAGCTGACGCTTTATTGAGATCGGGTTGCCCAAGCACTGAGCCCTGAGCCTCCTTTCAGCCTAGACGCTTGGGGGGATAGTGATGCGCGCTGTCGAAGGCTTCTGTCTGCAGGGGCAATTCCGCATCTGGCGCATGGCCTCTTGGGAACTGAACGAACCCAGTCGTGTCCAGTGCTAATGAGGGTCCCTGAAGCAGGCGGTATGAGGGCGCATTCTCTCTGCAAGGGCCGCGCCAAGCCACGCCAGGCGTGCTACCATGCTGCAGCTTTCAGCTGTAGAGAAAACCCGACCTCCCCTCGCCGGCAAAGTTCTTATTGCTTGTAAGACAAAATGGGTGAAATTTATAGCAGAACCCTCCCGGTCCAGAAAGGCAGGGGTTTTGTCCAGCGAGTCTCAGTTTCGGGGGCGGGAAAGGAAGTGAGGCCCTGGGACCACAATCAAAGGAACTTGTCTTTGAAAATGAAGCATATGACAACCAGTCTACACACAGGAGGCAATAGTTCTGTGAGCGGTTAATGTCCAGCAGAGACAACGAAGACTCTCCTGCCCCAGCAGCTCATGGTCCCAAGTCCCATCATTTCGAATTCATAAGCGATGATCCTCTAATGTTAAACATAAATCCACCAAAACAATGGCTCTGAGATGCCTGATCCAGATTCGGTCTTGTAACAGGAAGGTAGGGCACATGTTGACCCTGGGAGGATTCCCGAGCCATTCTCTGCTTCATTCTTCCCTCTCTCTACTTCTGCCCCATTTCTCACTCCCCGATACTGGGTCGGTCCTCAGGCTCACCTTCTGTTCCTGTCCCAGACGCAGCTGTCCCCGAACGGTAGATAAGTTTCCGGCCTGACACGGTCCCCACCCCCTCCAGGGCACAGCTGCGGGGGAAACCGCCTCAGGCGGGCCTCTGGGGGCCCAGCAGGCAGCAATGTGCCCTGGGGGGTGACGGGGGCGGCGTTATCTCTCCTTTGTCTGGAACCCCGCCTGTCCCGATCTTCACACCCCCACCCCGCCCGCCTTGGAGCAGGGAGATCGCAACTGCGAAGAAGGACCAGGATAAGTTAGGGTTCCCGCGCTCGCTCCACCGATGGCGCGCGGTAAATTGGAAGTGGCTCGATTTCGACGTGGCGGCTCTGCGTTTCCACGTGAGATTCAGGAGTGTAGGGACGCCCCGAGGGACGCCGCCAGTGACATCTCCGCCTCCAGCCCCGCTCGTTGAGTTCAGGCCTGGAAACTCAGATTCTAAAATCTTTGAACTAAGAAGGCCCTGAGGCTAAGCTTTCCCCATTTTACAGATACGGAACCTAAGGCCAAGGCGGGATGCGACTTGTCTAAGGTCACATAGCAAGTCCGGACTAGAGGAAAGGCTGTGGGCCGGGAACCTCTTTCTTAGAAAGGCCTCTCCAGAGCCACTCTTGGGATGGCGGGGCGTTTGGGGTGGGGGGTATGCTACTAAATCAAAGAACCCAGCTAGGATATGCCCGCACAAACGGGGTTTCCTTCCCATACCTGTGCGACTTGGACAGAATTCCCGGAGCGCTGCGGTGTGGGATGGAACCGCAGAAACCCGAACATGAATAGCTCAGATTCCCATTTCACACAGAAGGTGTTCGGCTTCAGGACAGTGTTGGGCTGCGAGCAACCTGCGCGGCGAGCAACCCCCTTTGGCACAGTGCGCTGCGACGGGCAGAAGGAGCTTCCCTCTGGGTGTGGGGGGGAGGGGGGTAATTCACTGCCTCCAGAGCGGGCCGGCCTCCGGAAACTTTTAACGCCAAGAGGCGCCACTTGATATCCTGGCCACCTAGCCCAGCCTTACAGGCCACCAAACGGCGGCCCAGAGAAGTTACGCTACGAGTCCGAGATTACACAGCGATCCCATGACCAAGACGGGCTTCCACGCCTCAGTCCGGCCTCGGGAAACTCACGAGCCCAAGAATCTGGGTCCAGGAGAATGGCGAGCAGGGAGCTGGTCTCGACCGCGCCGCGCAGAAAGTGGTGGGGTCTCGCCCTGCGCGACAGTCCGGTGGTTTTGTTCCCCCAGCAGCACGACTTTGGGCCGGCCCTGTGCTAAGTGCTAGAGACCAGGAAGGGCAACCCTCGGGGAAGAAAGTCAATTTATGTAAATCGAGTTGCCTTTGAAAGTTTTGCTACTGAAACAAAGCCCACTGAGAAGAACGTTTGCGGAGCCAAAACACCGTTAGAGAAGCGTCCACCTAGGTCTTCAGCCACAAAACCTGCGTCACTCGGAACACACTACCCCCCCCCCCCGCCTCCCATCTCTGTACTCCAACCCAGTCTCTCCAGCGCCCAGCGGCTCCGGGGGAGTTGGGGTTGCCACAGAGCTCTGTGGGCCTGAAATCAACTCCCGCAGCCCAAGTCCAGCCTATTTCCCTGTTCTTGCTTGTTGCAAAGCGAGGCATACTGGGCTCAGATTGGTTGCTCGGTTCGGGAAAGTTGAAGGTGACATAGCCGTCGCTGTGCTAGCTCGGTGGATCCTCTCTAATTCTCCTTTTAAAAACATCAAAGGGAGAAAGCAATTGATCCGAGGTTACACAGCGAGTGGGCTCAGAGCCGATTCCTGCGCCTGGATTAGGGGTCTGCGCTGTCTGGCCCAGGTCTGTTTGTAGGAATCGTTGAAATGGGTGGGGGCAAAGGGGAGAATTTAACCAGATTTTAAAAGAACTCTGTAAATTGTCTTTGTCAGAATTTGTTATCATTACCAGCGCACCCCAAAGGCCAGGGGTTCTGGGGTTGCCTTTCTCTCTCTCAAAGACTTTAGGCAGTGGACCCCTTTTCCTAGGGCTCAGCTTCCCCCACGTGTCTAATGGGAAGAAGAATGCCTGAGATGAGGCCTGCCAAGGTTCTGAAAAATGAAGATTCATGGGTAAGGAAGTGTTTTATCATTTCACCATGCTCATTCTAGAGCTGGTGGTCTGGATGCCAGTGCCTGGTCAGAAAGTGTTCAGCCCATCCTGGTCTCCCTGGCCTTGGGACTCCTTAACTCTCACTGCAGCTAGTTTCCCCAATAGTAGTTTTTCTCCAAGGGGGCCCACGGAGGTGAGGTGGGGTTCTGTCTGCTCTCAGCTGGAATGAGAAGTCTAAGGTCAGAGAAGTGGCCTTCCAGTCCTACTCCAGCCATACCTCCTGCTGTTATCACCTCAATAAGTCTCTGCCCCTTTCTGGACCTCAGTTTTTCCTTTTTGGTACCACAACGAAGAAGCTAGATAAGAGGATCCTTAAGGGGCTCCTGCTCAGGGCTGACCTCACCCAATCTGGGGCTTAGCGCTAGAAAGGCATACACATCTTCCCCATTGTGCAGATGGGGAAACTGAGGTCAAGCGACAAAATGGAATACAGTTATGAAGAAAGGAAAGGGAGTTCAAGCGGCCCATAAAAGGCCTCAAAGTTAAAAGAGGGAAGAAACCCATGCAAAAAAAAAAAAACCAAAACCGGACCTGGATTCCCCCAGCCTGGCCAGCTTTTCGGCTCTCTCCTCTTCCCCAGCGGGGACCCAGGCTGGTGCAGACAGGCAGAAGTGCAGTGTCACCTGAGATATCTGCACTTTCCCAGGTAGACTGGCCCTTACCCCAACCCAGCTTGAAGAGGAGGCGTGGCTTTTCAGATTTTTAAACTCTGGCCAGCCTCAGGCCCCCCCAGCCCCACCCAGGCCCGCCTTGCTGAGGGATGAAACGCTTTATTGATTAAACGATTATTCAGGCGATTGAACTAATCAAAGAGCCCATCGACCGCCTTGAATTACATTCTTCATAGACAGCTTGTCGGAAAGGCAGCCAGGCCAGCCACATAGACCCACTCCATAGACCCTCACAGACCTCTGATTCATTCCCAACACATACACAACCACTAGTCCAGGTGCAGGCACCTCTAGGAGTCCCACCTACTGAGGGACCCACTGGGAAAGAGGGGGAAGAGTGGGGATGGAGCAGAGGGCATTTCCAGGTTTCCTTTCCTACACCCTCAGCCTGGGGAAATCTCTTCAATTCTGCCTCTTTCATTGCTGTCCTAACATCTCAGTCACAATTTTGGAAACACATCTAAGCCAGGGGAATTGTCCTGAGTTTGGCATATAAGTTCACTCCTCTCTTTCTGCTTTCTGGTCTATATATTTGGGGCTTGGGTAAAGGAGGGGGCTCACAGATCCACAGGAATGGGTGAAGGAGAGTTCCTGCCAGAGCCAGGAGTGTTTGGGTGGGGGTTAGCATATTTGGCCTAATGAGTAAAAGAGGCTTTTGCCTCAAGGCAAACAGAGGCCTC